AATGACCTTTTTCCCCTACCATCTCTGTAGTGACCTCCATCTGAAATCTTAGCCCTTGTCTGCTCTATAATAAAACTTGTGCTGGAAGATCTATTTAAATTAACTTCACATTAGTCAGTGCTGAACATTGTTCTAGAAAAATGATTTTGGCCACACTGTGTCCACTCACTGGGAATGTAATACGTTTTATATAATTTCTTGGCATTTTTGCAGTATAGACAACCTATGAACGAAGCTGCTCTCTGTTCTCTCTGTTGGCCTTAAAGATGCCATAGTTGGAACTTAGTGAACTATTGTTGCTGATACATGAACCAGAACCAAATCTCACTTCACTCTGCAAAAGCATTTCAGGAATCAGAATGTATTTTTATAAGCAGGTATAATTTAAAGATACGCAGGAAGCTGTTGCTGGAGCAAGAAGGGGATTTTTCTAGGTACGTCTGCACTGTAAGGATTCAATTCAGATCAAGCTTAAATAAGCCCCTCTTTGATTGAAGTGGATGGCAGTTGCAATCACTTAGTCCAAGCCTGAAAATTCAGTATTGGCTGCTGCACTATAGTAATTAATGCAGGGGTGGGCAAAGTCTGGTCCATGGGCCAGATCTGGCCAGCAGCAGACTCCATGTCCCAGCAGCCCCTGCCCATGTGGCTGGGGCTGATTTCTATGGAGACCCTAGCAGCAGCTGCACTGTGATAGCACAGGGCTGGGGTTTCCATGGAGACTGGTCCCAGCAGCTCTGGCAGGGCAGGGAGCTGCTCCAGGGCCAGGCTGGGATCTTGCAGCAGTGACAGCATGTTTCTAGAGCTAGGGCAGAGCTGTGATCTACAGCTTGCATGCTCTGGGCAGGGTTGTGCAGGCGGTGGATTATGACTCTGCCCCGACACCTTGCAGTGGTGACAGCGTGGTCCAGAGCTGGGGCAAAGCCGCTATCCATTGCCTGTATGCCCCTGCCTGGAGCATGCAGGCTGCAGATTTCAGCTCTGCCCTGGCTCCAGACCATGTTGTCACTGCTGCAAGTTCCCAGCCTGGCCCTAGAGCAGCTCCCTGCCCTGCCAGCACTGCTGGGGTCAGTCTTCACAGAAACCCTGGCCCTGCACTATCATAGCATAGCTGTTGCTGGGATCCATGAAAACCAGCCTTAGCTATACAGGCAAGGGCTGCTGGGAAATGGAGTTCGGCCACCAGCCAGATCCATTTTGCCCATCCGTGAACTAATGGTTTAATGCATTTTAAATTCAAAGGTAAATTATTTGTAATAATAAAATTACTCCAGATAAGTAAATGGTAGAGAGTATAACAGTAATTTTATATTTCAAAGCATTAGTACATCATGCTGATTTTAGTCAGTCACCTGTGCCCTTCAGTCATTCTTCAGTTAGAGTGATGGGCTTAAGACGTGTAAACTCCAGTATCAGTGTTGTTGGTAATTATTGTTATGGTGTCAAATGCTTTGTGTTTACAAATTTCACAGTTAACTTAGTGGCGTGCATGCTGCTCATGTTCTCTGGCCATATGTGGAGTACTTCTATTTTATATTTTATCGAATGCATTGGCATGTACAGATGCTGGCTGCAAATTGCGTCCTGTGGATTTTCAAGCCTCACATATTAATTAGTGAAAGTTTCCAGGAAGTGCTTTAGGAAATACAGGTGCTGATTTACTAGGAGATGTTTTTCACCTGATTCTGCTGCACTAGTGTCTCCTGATGTTAGTGCATTGCTGAACCTTCAGGGATGATGGCAGAGGTCCCGAATGTCTAGAGTTACCAAAGAGTTGCTTTTCTCAGGAGTGAGAGAACTCTTACACTGAAAAGAAAATTAATCTCCCTGAGGCTTGCTAAAATGGCATGTTTCCTTTGCTCTATTTATAGTTGAATATTGGAACTTCTCAAAAATTTCACTTTTGATTTTGTTTGGTTTCTATTTCTCATTGCTTTGTTCAAATAATGCTTTTACAACAAAGCTGGTAAATTAAAATATGTCATTTTAGTAGAACTTTTCAGAACTTTGAAGTTGTTTCCATTAATATCCAACCTGCCCAGTGTATGTGTTCACCGGCAGATGTTCCTGACATTTTTCCTTTTAATACATTGGTTGCCTGGATTAAATTCCAGTGTGGGGACTAACGTTTGGCCTGCATAGTTCCTCTGTGTAATTTCAATTGGATACAGTATTTTTCTTCACTTCCTGTTCTAAACTGTTGCTTATGTTCTTTAAATAACTGTTGTGATCCCCTCTGCATGTGGCTTTACCACATTGGCCATATTTACTAGGTGACATTTGATAACTTTGGAATCTTGCAGAATGAAAGGCATTGTAGAAATGCGAGATTTCCTTCAGCACAAAAGTCCCGTGGCCTTATCCAAGACATATCAGGCCTCAAGACATATTTCTTTTGATGCAACCGAAAATTTTAAAGGCCTTTTTTTCTTTTAAGTTGCTCTTATAAACTTGTTGCATTGTGTGATATTGTGTCCTTTGACAAGAGGGTGTCATTTTAGTGATGTCCTCTTCTGAAACACAGGAGGAGGTGACAATCAGGCTTCTGTGGTTCTTCTAGTCACATTGTTGAACACCAAGCGTTATTTTCAAATAGGCAGTTTTCAGCTACAGACAAGGTTATTTGTGTAAATCCAATATCTTTTATTAGACCAACTCAAATCTAATAAATGATATCACTTTTACCCAAAGAACATTGTCTGCCTATGTCCTTAGATCAACATGGCTACAACCTACATTCCAACTTTCAGCTGTGCACACGTGAGACCAAATATATACGCACAGCTCACAGCTCAGGTTTAGATGATGGAGTAAAACTGAATGAGCTCTGCCTATAGCAAGCATTCCCACCGTTTCCAGTACTGGCGCAGGTCTGCTCATTGCTGCAATAATCATGGACGAGTTTCCTCACCATCGTCAGTTTAGATGTCTCTCCAATAGTGTATGTGTATAGTGCTCTTAGCTCCTACCAGGCATGGGGTGGTGAGTTAGTGAGTCCTGATCTAGTCCAGCATGTCTGCATAGTTCACCACCAGTGCCGTGCTATGATCGGATGAGTAGGTGGATCAGATGATCAGTGCTGGATCTCACTAGCAGTGCAATTTTGGTGGTAGTCACTGTAGTGTCATTGCGTCAACACTCAGAAGTACTGCTCTCTCACATGACATTGCTTGTTGCTGACACTAGCTCTCCATGCCGTCTTCTGCACTCCTTTGAACTTTTTAGTAATTGTGCTTCACACCTTGTTCATTTGAGGCTCTCCGAGCACCATACAAAAGTTATTTAAGCTTTAAAGGATCTCTTCTTTTGAGGAAAGAAAGCATTATCCCCATTTACAGATAGAGAAAATGAGACTGTCACCAAGGGTTAAATGCCTTGCTGAGTATCAGAATTTCTGGCACGGTTTGCAGTAGAAGGCAAGAGTCCTCATTTCAAACCTGTCACAACCACCAAATGTGCTCTTTCCTTCTACTTTAACAAGGGGTGCTCCAGAATTAACTTAACCAAAAAAACCCAAACCCTGTAGAGAAGAGGGGGAGATACTCACAACCAGGGCCTGTAGTTCACTGTAACTGAGACTCTTCTGTCATTCTAAACCATTGGCAGAGGTCCATAAATGACAGACAGCCTTGAATTGGCTCTGGGGACATCTGTTACTCTATTTATAGAATTCACACACTTGCACATGTAAACAGGTGATCTCCTAAATATATGGAATTTAATAACACTTGGAATTCAAAGTACTCGTAAGTCAAAGTGGGTGAGATGAGCATGCCACTACCAAAATAATCAATTGCGTAATAATCCCTGAAAAAGGTGCATTTTATGTTGGTAATGTTTTATTCTTGAGTATGCATGTATTTGCTCATTCTTGCACAATTAAGAATTGCTATTACTTCATGAGGAAGTACTTTTCAGGACACTTTCTCTCTGAATGACTTTGTTCTACCTTCATTCCCCATTTGACTATCTTGGCAATTACCCGTTTCTCACTGTTAAGAGACATCTTTTGTAGGTATGTTGCTTCTATTACAAAGATAAACAAAGAAGAAGTAATTTTCAAGGTTAGTCCTGAGGTATTGGAATTAAGGGAAGGAGACTGAGTAAAGGGACATTTAGACCGAACGTCTGGAAATACTTCCTAATAGCCAGATTGATTTTGGAGTAATGTCCCGAAGGAAGTGCTGAAAACTCCAGTGCTTGAATAATTTAAAACTGAATGGGATAAAACACTGGAAACTATGCTGTAGGGAATGATTCTGTATTGATCAGAGCATGGTGGGGTAGAAGAACAGACTGACTGTGATTGATTACTGTATTTTTTTCAAATATCCAAACATCATGCCAACAAATAAAGATTAGACATTACAGTTATTATTTCTATTAACATTTTTAAAGTTCTGGTTCCCCAAGAAAAAGTGGAAGGGTTGCTTTCAGTGTGAGACAGGAACATCTCTAGCTAATCTTTATAATTCAATTCAAAGAAATGGCGTAGTAATGCAACAAAATTTATTAGTGGAGGGGGGGGTAGGTTTTCTGTCTTACACTTAAGAAAAGCTCTGTTGACCAATTAAATGAGCAGGCACATGGTGATTACAGTTTCTAGGAGTTGCTTGCAATGTGAATGTTGGTCCCTTCCTGTTGGAGTAGTCAGTCCATATTTTCTGTTTGTTTTTAAGTGTTCATGGTTTGGAAAGACCTTGGTGCTCTAGAAATAATTGAGAAACAGGGCCGGTTTTGCGGATTTTTATCACCCTACCAAGACCTTCGCAACTTCCTCTCTTCGTTGCCTGCAGCAGAATACGGAAACCTTGCTCTTAAGGCCACTTCTGCAATTGCAGGAGGGAAGAGGAGAAGGGTGGGAGGGGGTGCCTTTCTCTTCTGCTGCTCAGCATGTCCTGAAGCCAAAAGAAGAAAATCTAACATATTTGAAAATGTGTCCTGCACTGTGTCTCCCGCTGACCAGTTTCCTACTCTTTTCTCTCTTTGTTGCACCTCAGTGCTGCAGTTGAAGCTCCAGCAGCGACGGACTCGGGAGGAGTTGGTGAGCCAAGGGATCATGCCGCGTAAGTACCACTTAAACTCATTCCTGTGTCTTAGCGTTTATAGCACCTGCCTTTGAATGGAGGGTGGCTTGGGAATGAAAAATGGCGAATGTGAGAGCCCCACCCTGTTTCACTCCACCTTCCTTCTTATAAAGCACTGGGGACCTTGGAAGAGACAGCCACCTAGAATATCAAGGAGCGCTGTTGGCCACACACTTAATTGCATTCAGAACAATGGCTGCATTGCTTGCTGTGGAGAATAGTCTTCTGGAGAATATGTGCCATATTAGAAGCATCTTATGTACTCATGCGTGCTAGTAATCACTCTTAGCAGGCTTCCTGCCTCTGCCGCTTTCATTCTTGTCTGTCAGCTCTGCATAACTCAGAAGCATGGCTGTCCTGAATTAGTGCCTACATACTGATAAACCTGGTAGAATCTCTATTATGCATGCAGGGTATCAAGGCAGCAAGGCTACTCTTTTTCTACAATGGTCAGTGTTTGAAACACATCTAGTAGCAACTATAGAGAGCAGCTGTTCTGCTGCAGGGGGGAAAGATCTGCAGAAACTGTTAAATGGCAGTGTGTGGGTGGCTAGAATATACCTTAGCTCCAAGCTCAACATGTACAGAGTTTGGGGAACAGTGTTTTTTTGAGTGCAGGACTGGTGATAGAAATGGAATTAAATAGTCTGACTCAACTTCAGTACCTCTGAACTGGATGACACTTTCCAAGTGCATCAGCAAGTAACCAAGGGAGAACCAAAGAGCAGGTGGTTATTTTTGGAGTTCTCTTCATGTTCTCTGAAAGCCTTAATGAAAAGCAGCAGCTTAACTATGCGTTTCTTGGTCTGAGAATGCTTCCCTGCCCCCAACAGACCCACCTTTAATGTAAGCTAAAACCAAAAGGAGCTACACTGTTCTTTTGGAAGGCCAGATAGAGAAGACAGTTTTTTCACTTCTACTTTGGGATGTACTCTGAAATAGCAGGGCCTTCCTTTTCTAAATGCCTGAGGCAAGTTTATCAGCCATGACTCTTTCAATGAAAAGAAACTTGTAAGCATCAGTCGGTCAGTGGGAGTGCCTCAGTATAAGGCAATGATGTGTAGGCCTGTGTGAAGTGGCAGGTATTCGCTTCAGATTTGGATTTGGCCAGTTCGGGGGACAGTGATTTGATTTGGTGATTCAGATCACCATCCCGAATTGATTCGGCCAATCTGATTCAGAGATTTGGCCACTGCTGAATCGGCCTAAACTCTGAATCGGACAGACCCCAACCCCACCCGCATCAATGTCTGGCCTGCCTGCCCTAGCTCCTGGCTCTTAAAAAAAAAAATCCCTGGTCTCATTGTCTCCTGCTGGGGGGGGGGGGGCTATCCCCGCTGCAGTCTGTTGCCCTGCACTGTGTAGGGGGCTCTGCCACAAGCCCCAAAAGCCCTGAGGCCGCTGCAGCAGCCGGTGAGTGTGGGCCTTTTT